TGCCTTTACTCTTTAAGAGATAACTTGGCCTCTGCTTCCTAATCTTGCCTGGAGTGCTGCACTGGACAAAGCTGTTCCTGTGTGCATCCCTAGGTCTGCTGAGGTTAGGGAACTTCCTTCCAAGAGCTCGTGTTAGCGCAGGTTGTGACTTTGGGTGAAGAGAATCTGAGCTTCTAAAATGTCCATGGGCGTATTAAACAGATTAAATGCTCTGAGGCAGAATCTGCTTAGAGAAATGTAACTGCCTGCTCCACGAGAAGCACAAAGCAGCATATGGCAGGGAAAGGTAAAAGCAGTGCTTTTCTCCTGTAAAAGCAGATGAGACTTCCGGAGACAGATGTGTGACAGTGTTCATGCAGCAGCCCTTCACCTCAGAAGACCTGGGTTCAGATCTGAGCGGGGCTTTGCAACCAGAGTGCGAGGATGTGATCCAACCAGGAAAAGAAAAAGAATCTCTTCAAAAAAGGCACATTTTCCTGTAAGGGAAACCTGAAAACTTCAAGTCTCAGGTTAGCCTGGGTATGACAATGGTCTCCAGAGGAAACATTCCTTGCATTTTGACATATCCAAAACAAAAATTTTACTGAATTTCCAGTTCATGGAATATGTCAACAACATGCCACAAATTCAAATCGCAACTTTCTTCACAATCTCATTAAATTCATCTTGGAAGCTGAGGAGAGACGCATGGGTGGGCTGTTTGTTTTGTTACCTTAGACTCTACTCAGCACTTAATTCCTGTGGGATAAACTGTGTGGAAGGAGAAACTCCTGTAACATAATGGCTCTGTGCTTCTATGATGAGGGAAGCAGGAGTCCCTTGCTCCCTCCCAGTGAAGCCTCTCACTGGTTTAGCAAGAACACAGGGCTGTCTTGTGGTTCACTAAGTGTAGCAGTGAGTTGCAGGACACCATTTTAATCAGGGTGACACAGAGCCAAACTAATCAGCACTTAAGTTCTTTGATTGCTGACTTTTCTGCTCTCCTTTTGAGGCAGGTGCAGTGACAATAAATCCAGAGAGGGAAAAAAGGGGAAAAACAAATTTGGAATTGAAGCAAATTGGTAAATAAGGTGGGGAGCAGAAATAATCTCAGAACCATCATTTGGAGCAAATTCACTTCGACTGCCTCATTCTGCTGCTGGTGTGTATTTTGTGCAGGACTTGAGTCAGGCCTGCCAGGAAAATGTTTTATCCCAGCAGGGCGCTGCTGTGTGCATGTTGTAATCTGGTGCTGGCTGAAAGGAGGGCTTTTCTCCAGTAGCAACTGATCAGGCTTGTATCGGGGGGTGGAAGCTACATGTGAGTGATGCAATTAATTAGAACGGTGGAAGCAATTAATTTTCCAATCCGCTAACCAGTTTTTGGAAAATGATTTTGAAAACTTCCTTTTTCCCTTCAGTAATGGAAGGAACATTTTCAGTAATTTTCTGCAGCAGAAATTTGAGTCTCTTGGCAAAACAGAAAAGGAAAAATTAATGTAATGAAACAGTTAATAAATTCAAGTTGCGCTCAGGAAAACGGTAAAATGCGATTTCAAAGGAAAACCGAGACATCCTGTTTAAAAATTAACAAAAATAAACATTCCAAGGTTTTTGCTGGAGTTGTTTTATCAACTTGACACAAATTAAGCTTTGATCAACTCATTTTCCAGTAAGAAGCGTGTGCATTTGGAAAATGTGAACATACTCTGCATTGAGTGCTCTGCCAAGGAAACCAGCGTCTGCTGCTGGAGCTCCAGTTATGAAAACATCGGTCCTCTCAATTCATCCGTGCTGCTCTGATTAACATCACTATGGGTCTCGTTTGAATTGAGGGCAGCGCTGGAAATTGCAGGCTATTGAAGCACAGACAAGCAAATCAGAAGCCAAAGACAGGTGACATGGAATTAAAAGCGCGAGACGAGGTGCGAGGATGGAAGCAGAGCAGTTGCTGGCATTGAGCTTTTCAGAAAGCTGCGCTGCTGTTCCTCCTCTTCAGCCCGGTTCTTCTTCGGTCTGTTATCAAGAGAGCTAGGGCAGTTTTTTGCCTGTCTGGTTTGAACTCAGCACGCCGTCTCCCATCCACATCCTGACCTTGCAGTTGTGCAAGCTAGCTGCAGATTGCCCATGCTGCGATTTGTACCTTCAGATCCAGAAAGCAAATGATTACAAACCTGCAGTCTGAATTGTTCTTTATCTCAAGTGCCAGCCAGACTTTCTCTGGCCTTGGCATTTTATTTAGATGGGTTGCTCTTTTTCCCCAGAGTTGGAACAGTGAGCATTTCTGTTTCTGTTTAAGCAGCTCTTTGTGATCTAATTTGTTTGGGAGCAGGTTTGTGATTCTAGAAGCTGCTGCCTGGAAAGCACCTGTGTGTACGGTGTGACCTTCCACTTCATTCACTGCAAAGCTGCTCTGAATTTTAAAGGTGACATTCATACTCCTCTGGGGTGACAGGCTACCTGAATGGCAAGTGGAGTCGGGCCCTGTTAGGGGATATCTGCTGCTGGCTTTTCCAGCCTGCTGCACAGTAAACCCCATTTGCACACATGTCCTATACAAGCACTTCCAGTGCAGTCTCTCGAGCCCCTGTAACGACATTAGGAGCTCTGATTGCTGTTTACCTTGAGGATTGTGTCTTTGCAAGGCTGCTGTCTTTCTCTAGGATGTGTGCCTGTCGGTATGCCTTACTGTTTTTTTGGAGGGAGTCATCAGCAGGAGGGAACACACTAAAACGTCAGGCATCCCATAGCGCTACACGCAGCAGGCAGGTCCCAAACACACGGGTTGAAGCCCAGAAAGAAAATCCCGTCAGCATTTCGATGTGGTTTTATGCTGCAGTTCAGCCCACTGGAAGGGCTGACCAGGAACCTGTAGCTTTCAGGCTTCACCCGCTCTGAACAATTGCAGAGCACTTTTGCATAGCTTATATAAAGGGATAAACTCTTCATTTTAAAAAGTACGGTGAAGGGAAAACCTGTGACATGTTCTGCCAATGCTTAACTACAATTCCTATTAGATTGTTCCTTATCTGTTTTTTTTTCTGGGCTTGTCTAAGATCACAGTATCTGTTAGGTGTTTCTGTAGCTGAAGGGAACAGTTCTTATCAGCTTCCATTATCTGTGAAGCTCCTTATATATCAGCATCAATTCGCCTCTTCTCTGAGAAAAGAACTTACAGTTGTTTTACAAGCCTTGTTTGTGGATATTTTCTGCATCTCTTCAAGCTTTGTAGCTAGACTCTAGAACTAGAACAGTGCAGTGTATGCTTTCCTAGCATTAAACCTGGTAGTGGCAAGTATCTTCCTTGTACTTTATAATTATCTCCTTACTTCTCCAATTGCTCCACCTTTTCCCCCTGATAGGTTTGGAACTCAGCTAGTAACATTCAAGCTTCCCTCATTTCAGAGTTGCTTTCTAGGACACCAGAATTCAGTTGCACTCTTCTGAATGTTGCTCAAGTCCTTTGCTGCCAGATGTTTTATTTTGACCACAGTAAGAGGTGCATCTTCCAGCTGTAAGTCTTTTACCTGATACAGATAGAAAATTTGCATCAGAGAGTGAAAAAAATCTAACAGTCTGGGTGTCATCAATACACAGCTTTTAAACGGGGATTAAAGTAGGCCCTTCTAGATCCTAGCATCTGGCAAGGTGCTGTCTGCTTGTCCTGGTCCTGTGCAGGATGTAGAGGTGATCAGAAGCAGCAGAAATGACATCTGAATCCAAGCAGTTTTACAAATGGGCGCGGGGCCTGAGGCTAAGAGGAGTTAATTCAGCTTTTGATCTGATCCTGGTTTGCTAGTGCCTCATCTAGGGGTCACCCTTCTCCATGCACCCCCAAGCTTCAGCTGCAGAAATGAGCTGCATGCATGCAAACAGGCAGACCAGGAGGCATATTTGCATGCGTGCACACAACTTGCTAGGCTGGGCCCTTTATTAAGGGTATTTTCAAACAGCTTCAGTTAACAAAAGCGAAAAGGAAGCCCCTAGGAAGGTGCTATCAAACTGGCACATGCTGTTAAGGGAGAGGACTCCTGAAAAGGCAAGAAGAGAGGATCTAACCCACACCAGTTTTGTAAGTAAATCATTCAAACCAGCGTATACCAACACCTTGTAAATCAATGCTGGCACAGTTAACAGTGCACAGACTGTTATGAGAACACAGACACAAAAGCTGTTAAACAGAGTGCATAACCATGTCAGAAATCCTGTCCTTTGAGAAGGCATTTGCACTCTGGTGAAAGGGCATTGCTGGCAGCATCTCATCCCTTGCTGCAGTCCAGGGGAGTTCATCCCTGCAGTGCCAGGTGCACACTTAGGCCAGGCAAACTCATTACGCCACATTTTCCAGCCCATTGAAAAGGCAAAGTGCTGAGCTAATATTTTGCTGCAGGCTAGAAAGTCCAGCTGGAACATGAAATTTGCTAGCCTGCAGTTTCCAGAAAGCTGGGGCTAGAAGGGCATGGCCAAATAAGATGGTAGCTGTGTGTCTGAGGGCTTTCACTTGAGCCAGTAAAGTTCTCCGTCCCTTCTTTGTAAAGAGATTTCATTTCAGCTAGAAGAAAATGATTGACTTCAGAGCAAACAAGATGCATAAGATATAGGAGAAAAAGATATCTCTAGGGAGTAGCTGAAGACTTAGGAGACTTCAGTGAACTTGCGCTTTTGAGGTGTGGCTTTTGAAACTCAAGAATTACAGTCTTGTTTTTCTGCTCTTTTTCTATAAATGGACGTTTAGATGCCAGGTGAGTAACTTGTGGGTTCATAAGCTTTGCTGCCAGTCTGCCCCACTTCTAAAAACTGACTCTACTGTCTAAGACTGTGTTCTCTGGATCTCAAAGTCTGCTGATCATACCACAAAAGCAGAAGATATAATGTTTATCATCTTGTCGCTGGAGCAGAGACTGTACCCAGATCCCATAATGACAGCGGAGATGGTGCCAACAATTTGAGGAAGCTCTGGCAGGAAGCCTCCCCTGCTTTGACATACGAGAATGACTCTTTCTCTCTCCACTTTCTCCACAGGTAAGAAAAATTCCATTCTGCTGCATAAAGTCCAGCATGACCTCAATTCGGGGGTTTTCAACTACCAAGAGAATGAGATCATCCAGCAGATCGTGCAGCATGACAGGGAGATGGCACACTGTGCTCACAACGTCCAGGCTGCCGCCGCAGCCGCCGCCGCCGCGTCCACTCCCACCCCCGTCATTTGGACTCCGCTCATCCAGGCCCCCCTGCAAGCCGCAGCCGCCACCACTTCCGTTGCTATCGCCCTGACCCACCACCCGCGCCTCCCGACAGCCATCTTCCGTCCCCCCGTGTCCGTCTTGGGTTCCTTGGGACAGCAGTCCAGCCAGACCCCAAGACAGCTGAAAAGGCTTCAGTCCCTGATCCCGTCGACCGGGCCTTCCGCCGTTGGCTCTCCCTCAAGTACCCCGTCCCAGCTGCACACCCCGGGAGCAGAAACACCTTCGTCCTCTTCCTACCACATCCAGCAGCTCGCTGGGTATTCGGCCGCTGCCGGCTTGGGGCAGTTCCAGGTGGGATCCCCTCCTGCGGGCTCTGGGCAGCAGGGACTGAGCGGTGCGTCCTCAGCGGGGCTGAGCCAGCTGCAGCGGGCGCCTTCTGGCTCACCCCTGGGGACGGCTCAGCCCCTGCAGCAGCAGCAGCTGCAGCGGCAGCCCTCCCTTTCCAGCGGCGGATTTGGGCACTTCCAGCAGGCCGCAGCCAGCTCTCCATCCACGTCGCTCACCCAGCTCTCATCCAATTCCCCCCCCAGCCTCCTCAACCAATTCCAGCCCGCCACAAGACCGCTGCAGGGGGGACAGTTGCAGCAGCTCTCGGGCAGTGGAACTCTGGGGGGAATTAATCACTTCCAGCCCCCTCCTTCTTCCAACTCTCCATCCTCCAGCCTAAGCCAGCTGGCACAGGCCTCCGGCGGGCCGTCCTCGGGCCTTTGCCAAACACAGCCAAGTGCATTAGGATCTTTAACTGGAACGATAGCCCAGCTCCACCAAGAACGATCCCCCTTTGCCTCTGCGTCTCCTCTACAGCAGCCTGGCGTCGCCTCTCCCTGTTACACCCCTTCTGGCCTTAGTCCTCCTACTCAGAGCCCAGTGGCAACGAGAACTTTTCAGTGCGGCCCGCTTGGGGCCTCGGGCTCTCACGGCTCTCTGCTCCTGCCTCAGACCGCCAGCCCACCTCCGCAGATCCTGCAGTCCAAGAGCACGCCGCCCGTGCCGCCGGGACGCTTGAACCAGGACATCAAGTTGATTTCTGCTTCCCAGCCATCCTTGCCCCAAGAGCTGGCTCAGACACTGAGCCAAAGTTCTCATTCCTCTAGAGAATCTGTTTCCAGCTTCTCTCCTTTTCCTGGAGGAGGGACTGGACTTCTCGGGAAGCCTTGTAGCTCAATTCCTGGCCGTGTGACTTTACCACGTCAGATGTCCTCAGGTTCTTTACCGCACCCGCTGGTGTTTGGGGCCGGCGCTGCAGGCACCGCTTCTCTGACTGCTGGTGGGCGGAAAGAGTCCATAGTGCTCACAGGGGATCTGGAGCCTGTCAGATCCAAACTGCCCTCCAATTTGTGAGGACTCCTTCCGAGAGCTGGTCATGTCAGCCGTGCAGTTCGGTTCCTGATTAGACTTTCATGAATCATTTTTTGCCTTTTTTATTTTTCCCTCTTCCCCCCCTTTTCCCCCCCTCCATTTCTTTTGTTTAGATTTAACTGTGATTAGAAACAAACAAGCAAACAAACAAACAAAAAAAAAAACACACGGAAAAATGACAAAAAAAAGAAGATAACCAGGTATTCTTAGAGCTATAGATTTTTGGTCACTTGATTTTATAGAATATTTTAATACATGGAACAAAAGGATACGAGCAAATTTAATCCAACGAGGTAACGCACAGACAGGGCATGTGCCTGAGCTGGAACATGTGAATGATCAGCCATAGAAGCCACCAAAAAAGGTTTTCCTGTTGAGACAGTGATCCAAGGTTGACGTGGGCCGTAGAAGGGAACATGAGGCCGGCCCGTAGCTGGTGTTTTTGGAACAGCTGTTGTTGGCCACCAGCTGTGGGGGGGGAACTCGATGGCTCAGTGTGTGCATCGGGAAGTGTCACCTCCTCAGGTCTCTCCTGCGATCTGCAGGTTGCAGAGGAAGCAAGAAGAGAGGTGAGTTTTGTTCATGCAGTCCCCTCTAGGAATATCAGATGGGCTGAGTTTCTGTGTGGACTCCATCTGAAGAAGATAACCAGGAGATGGACGGACTTGACTTCAGATGCTTGTCTCATTCCGCTGATGCTCTAATGTGGGTTGTGGGAGAAGTCCTGTCTCTGCCACCACACCAGGCAGCTGTTCTCAGCAGAACAGCCTCAGCCTCACCCCACGGCTGGAAGCCTGCATGCTGCCTTCCAGGTTGGGGCATGCAAAGCAAGGGGAGGGGTGAAGAAAGAGACAGCACTTTAACCTTCCCTCTCTCCGTTTTAATGTCTCAGTGTCCATGGGCTGACTGCTTTGAAGAGAACTGGTTAGGGTAAGATTGCAAGGTGGGCTGCAGCCACCCCAGCCCTCTTCTTCCTTAGCCCAGGGGAGTTTGAGCTTGGAGGCACTGAGGGCAATACCAGTGCCCAGCCAAGAATCCTCCAGATTTGCAAATACGTTTGTACCATTAAAACAAATTAAACCAGAAATCTGGCCAGCCGTGGTCCGTGCTTCTCCTCTGATGGGGGAATTGAAATCTTTTGCTTGATTTCACCAGCAATAACAGCCTGCACCTGGTTGGCGTTGGTCTCGCCCTGCAGTTGCAGCATCACTGGACACATCTGGGGGCTGGCAGGCACCTTGAGCTGGAATTTTTGGGCTCCCCTGATTTAAGACAGTCAAAACGGGTTGAAGACAGGAAGGTGCCTTTGGGTGCACTCAGCAGTGAGAAGCTACAGCCTTTACCTCTAGAGCAAATGTCTCCTTTTCGCTCTTTTTGTTTTCCTTTCAATTCTTTCTTTCTCTTTTGTTCTTCCCAAAGCCAAGAGGTGTCTCCAGCCGCCTCAGTGTAAACAGTCAGGTGCTCAACTTTTCTAACTCTTGTTAGAAACACTTGTCCAGCTCCCCTCTGTTCTCAGCTATCTTGGAGTCCCTCCAGCCCACAGAGGGAAAGCAGACCTTCCTGCAGCAGTGCCAAAAAATATATCACAGTAACGATACAGGCCCACACAACCCCTCATCTTACCTCCTCTCCCCAAAAACACTGGCTGACAGTTGATTTTTATACCGAATTGTTTGCAAAACTCTTGACACGTGCCTGTATCTTGAATGTTGCTGCAGGCATTACTGGGCACTCCTGCTTCAACGTGCTTTGGTGGCTCAGAATTCAGATGTAATCAGCTTTGGTCTTCCTTAAAGGGTCAGGGGAACTCTAGAAATGTTTTTTTCTACTAGCTACATACAATTATGTATGTGTGAGTGTGTGTGGCGGGAGGGGAGTGTGAGTGTTTGTGTGTGTGTATAGATTTTTATATATATATCTATATATACACACATGCTTTTATATATATGTAGTGTACAGTCATACACATACGTAGCCTATTTATGCACATGTGTAAGCAGCACACACACACACACATATTTATATATATATATATATATATCCTAGTTTTAAAATACATGTCTGTTTTGACCCTCCTGTAGGACTGATTGGCAGGAGATAATTATAACACGTAGATCCTGCTTTTCCAAAATATGTACACGCTCATCTTGAAAGAGAATCAGATTGATGGAATTGAAGCAGACTCACAGATCCTCTCATAGTTTCAGAGGTATGAGTTCCTAGAGGAAGACTCACAATATCCTTTTAAGTATTCTGTTTGTTTTAACAACCTTTTTCCCCATATACTAGAGGGCCCCCTAGAACGAACACCTCGAGAGGTTGGGAGCTAAGCTGTTTGGGTCTGGGGAATCTAATACAAGCAAGTGGGAAAGGTCTTCAGCCCAGCGATGCCAAGCCCTCATGGATGACTGTCCTGTGACTGCTGCATAGGTACTTGAATCTCAACAACCCCTGTGGACACTCAGACAAATGGAGGGGCACAGAAACACCCTGAGGGCTGTCTCTGGTAGCCGTGCGTTCCATCCACCAGTCCGGTGAACATCCTTTGTTCAGTTGGGTTCCTTTGCTTGAATTTTCACGGGGGTCTTGTTTGATTTTCCAGTTCTTAGTGGTGCAGTAGCCAATATTGAGTTACTCCGACTGGACCCCAGTCAACACTAGGCTTGTCTCAGTAGGTGGAACTATATTAATTATTATTGTTATTTTTTGTTTTATTTTGGGGGTTGGGGAGGCAGGGAGGGAAGAGTTCAAAGGGTGGGGTTTGCAATATAAAACACAATAAAAACCTTAGTAAATAAAAAAGTAAAAAACCCATCTCTCTGATTTGCTGTCTGCTTTAAGTGTGAAAATTCAGGCAACATGAGATTTAAAGAAGAAAAAAACCTTGTGTGGAATTTCAGCCCTCTCTGTCCTATTGGAGAGAGACCAAGGAATTTTCTCACTTCCTGTCTGTGTTTTCGTGCTGTTTTCACAACTTCAGTGGTGTTTACCAGCTGCCACCTCTCCACCTCAAACGTTCCTGTGCAAAATAAGCCATTGACTGTAACGTTTCTAAGCTTTTCAACAGTGTGAAGAGGCAACCTGGCAGTTGTTTTGCTAAACATGTATGAAATTCATTCATGTTACTGACAGGTCTGGAATCTCTGGCTGATTTTGTGATCCCTAGAGAAGAGCTTAAGGAGCTTTACTGCAGGATGCAGAAGTTAACAGCTTGGAATAGGGACTATCACAAGGAGCAGACAAAAAAACTGGATAAAGAAAGTACCACTTCCAGGTCTCAAGCAATGCTGGATGATGATGCCAGGGTCAGGACCTGAGGTATTTTTGGAAGGTAAAAGTAGCCTCAACCCTTAGCTTTCATTGAGATCCTTTTTGAGTCTTTGTCCAAACCCAGTCTAGAAAATGTGCTCAAAATCGGTTATGTGGGTCAGTAACTCACACAAGGCCTCATGCTCTTTCTTCAGTGCCAAGAAAACATACAGCAGAGCAGCCCAGCTGCTGGAGTCTGCCCTACTGCCCATGGCACTGAAATGCAGCTGGACATCAAGCTCCCTGCACCCTCCCAATAGGCTCACATTCATTTTACCTTCCCTAAAATCTCGTTTCCTTGGTACCTTCTCATCCAGTGGCTGTGTTTAGCCCAAAGGCTGTAAATGAAGTCAATGTTTTGCACAGAAGGATGCTCAGACACTCACACTTCCACTGATGTGGTGCAGCAAAGGCGCAGTCAAAGCAGGATGCTCCTCTCCTCTCCTGCATCTGGTACAGGAAAATTGGAGACCCTTTTGATCTCCCTCTATCAATTCCCTGACCTTGTCTGCATGTAATGGAGCAGCACTGGTGAAGAAAGAGCAAACCAAACATTTTCATCAAAAAATGCCCTTATGCCATTCCCTTGAAACCAGATGGCTCTACCCCAGAAGGTCAGTTGTCCTGGAGCTGCCCTGAATGAAGTGGAGCAAGTAAAACACTTTGTTTTGCCTTTCTAAGAGCAGAGCAGACTACAGTAACACAATAGCATCGTGGTCCTCACAGAAAGTCAGGCGCTGGAGGTGTCAGTGGCATGGCTTGGCTAATGAAGGCTGATGTTTGCCTCAAGCAAACACAGGCAGTAGCCGTGTCACTGCTCCTGGCCGTGTGGGTGACGATGGGTGATGTGGATGGATCAGACAGCTTTTCCCTGAACAAAGTCTGGTTCCACTGTCTGTAGTGATTTAAGAATCCTAAGTTGTTCAGCAGCGCACTTGGAAGGGCTTGACTGGTTTAGCATTTGCACTGATGCTTCCTTATCTTACTGATGGGTCTCAAGACTGCACTGGAATTTCATGATATGCACTGGCTGTCAGGAACAAACTGTTCAGGTACCAGAGCCAAGTCACCCTTCCACCAACAGGGCAGTCTTTTCACCTCCTCTTTACTGCTGCCTCCATTGCAGTGCCTTGTGAACACTCAGCCCGATGGCATGGGGGTTTAGTGCAGGAGAAGACGGGTTCTTCATTTCTTGAGGTTTCTCCTTTTTCTTAGTAGCAGTTTGTCTGTGGCTGTGGCTGGGAATTTCAGCCTTGTCCCACAAACTCTCCCAAGCAAGTGCCTGCCCCACTCACCTTTCTTTCTGGGGAGCAGCAGGCAGTCACTGGTTATGGGACAGAGGTGAGGGATCCCAAATTTACACTTCTTTCATCCCAGGAGAGATCATAGGGACAGTGAGAAGATTAGAGCAGCCCTTTTCCCAACAGTGCTTTCCTTCCTTTGCACCTTCCTGTGCCTTTGCACCAGCCAGCCTTGGCCAGGGAGAACAGTGATGACAAAGTTGCATTGAGAAGCAGGCTGAGGCTCAGCACATGGAAATGAGGTTTCTCTTCCTCTTTGCAAGCTCTTTGCTGGTTGTTCCCACCAATGAGATGATGAGGTTTGTTGAGCACAAAAAGGTGGACCAACCTAACAGGACCTCAGCAGACCTCTTTGCTCAACGTTGTCCTCCA